GTACTTAAAGTACCCCTCTGCCGACAAAGTGCGCGATAACGCAGTCTTCTAATCAATAAGCGTGAAAACTATAAACGGTTTCATTAATTAAAATGGGTTATAATACCGTTTGTTTTAGCGAGAACACCTGTCAGGAAAGTTTAATTTAAATTATTTCTCCCACTGACTCCTTATCAATTATTTATCAGGTTTATACGGCTACTTACAACTTCAGTAATGACTGAAGCTATAGAATATACCCATTATCATATATATTTCCTGCCAGCAAGCAAACGCAGCACCACTTTGTACACTGTTCACGAACTGAAAATGATCCCAATTCTACCTGCGCAAAGCGTCCTATCATCAAAGCTTGATTCACCTATGCGAAACGTTAAAATGCTATTAAAACGTCTCCTAAATGAGCTGCAATTTACAGATTGTAAACAGAGCGAACACTTCCTTCCCTGTTAAGCCGAAATTATTTCAGAGGACCGTTTCCATAGTTGACTTAGCTATAAAAAATCGCCTTAACTTGCTGCCGCGGATTCTTGTATCCAATAGCATCTTCTATACGGACAGTGAATTTGTTTTAATATATTGTATCAAAATTGGGCCTAAGGGATCGTGTCCAAACTGCGAAATCCCAGAACAAAGGTAGGGATTCATGGATTGACCTCCGCTGTTTCTCAAAGCTAAACTAATTAATTGAGAGTTTTCTTGAGAAGTATTGGGATTCAAAGGCAAGACACATTTCCCTCCCTTATGCTCTGTTTGAAAATAAAGAAAATAATTTGAAAAGTCCAAAAAATACGACGGAAAACCGAGGAGAGGTTTCTAATATTTTTAGACGGAAGTCGGAAACCCAAGGAAATTTTTTCCTTGGCTCTCGTTAGAAAAAGACCCAAGAAGATTTTCTGTAATCTGTTTTCTTACTGTCCTTTTTCCTTTGTTACTGGCTTTCGTCAAGCGCAGAGAATGGTGTAACGCTATTTGTTCCAGTTACGCAAATCGCTGCACGCCAGTACATGTTTATAAACGCTCAATTAAAACCTTGAACGGGCAAACAAAGCCACTTTAAATAATTATCTTACGAATTTTTAAACTGTTAAGCCGTTTTTATAATGTATTCCAGCCATTAGCAGTAGCCATGACTTAAAATCCCTGCATAGACGCAGAACGCTTGTAAAGAACAAGAACATGAATCTAATTTTAACGAATTTTGATCGTCTCCGGGGGATTAGCTCAAATGGTATAGAGCGCTCGCTTAGCATGTCAGAGGATCTGATGCTTTATCTTTGGCCAATAGCTCGCATAACAAAAAGGTTTTCCGCTGCAAAATTGCGGTTGTCAATTCTTTTCAAATTCCTCGCATCAAGAACTTCGTATGTTTGGGTCGAGCCTGCTGGGGCATGCGTAGCCCCATTAACGTCGTTAGTGGGACAGGAACGCGTGACGAACCCCTAAGAACGTCTGTTTTGGAGGCTCAACCGAAATATCTAAATAATGTACATCTAACTGGATTTTCGAAACCATTACTGTCAAATGTCCAACAGTTGCCATTATAAAAACTTAGTAGAAGAATTCGCGGAACCTCGATTTAACGAAGTGCCAAGAGACTGGGGAAATTTGTTCGTTATATCGAGGCTTCGTTATATCAAAAACTTCGAGTTAACGAAGTTTTGGGAAAACAAGCAAAATGTTCGTTATATTGAGGTACAGTTAACGATTAACTGTGTAATAGTGGCGCAAGAACCCTCGAAGTTCTGGCTTCAAGCACACTACAGGACACCCAACTGTAAAAGCTCAACTTTCTGAACTTTCTGCCATTACGTAAGAGCGCCATTGATATCAATGAAGCTAAGGATTTGCAAGACGAAGAGTGATTCCTGCTTGCTAATCAAACTGTGAACAACTTTATATCCAAGTTTAAACGATGCTCTCTAACAGATCCCTATAATTTCGCTTTTTCGCGACGGAACTATCAGAAACATCTTTTACCTGCTTTTGACGAGTTTGATCGTACGACTCCTGGATCATAAGGAATAACTCTAAACACCCAAGAAAAATTTATCTTACTAGTGCTGGCTAAATTCCGTACTCACTCCTTTAAGTAAAGGCTTCCTTTTCTGCTTTGCTCCATTGTTTTCACTGTGTGGAGAGCCATTCTCTAGATCTGACAACACGAGGTTTTCTTCTTCCTCTTCCATGCTTAGGTGCGACTTATTCACGCAATTACAGACAGTGCAGAATGTAAAGTAAAAAATAAATATTCTTGTTTTTATAACCGGTGCACTATTGTTCGGCATGCGCCCACAAGAAGAGGCTATATATAACTTTAATTTTAAATGCAGGAATCTATTTGGTTGGAAAAGCAAATTAAAGAGTTTTTGGAGCTGACATATGAAAGAATTTCGTGTACTCAATCAAAGTTTCAAATCTTCAGTCAAACCCCGGTTCTTTTATGATATTTTGGCAATAACATGTTCATGAGAATTATATTCTACCTGTTTTTTTCTTCTTATTATTATTATAAAGGTCAAGATACAAAGTGTTAGTTCAGTACTTTCAGTTCCAAGCTGTTGGAGTTTAACAATCATCATTGTTTGGGAAAATCATAAGCAATGTCGACCAACAGATTGCCTCAGGGTAGCAAAGCTCTCATCAAAACATTGAATAAATTACATTATCATTAGTTCTTAGAACATCCTTAACTTCCAATATTAGATAAGGAACTTACTTGCCACTGACTCCCATTATTCAACACGAAACGACACTTTACGCTCTCTTGTGCCAAGTTTCGCTGTGTTTCATCGGTGTGAACTTTATCTTTTTGAATTGACTTTCCATTTATCTGTTTATTGGTCGAAAAGTCTGACCAAGGATAAATTCGACTCCTCAGTTGGCAATAAATTAAATCTTTATAGTGAAGTGAAAAACGAAGTCAGATTTGAATCTTATCTTGATTTAATGAAGAACGTTAAGACGAGAGTGGCAGTAACCAAAATGCGAATTTCTTGCCACTTGCTACCTGTTGAATCTGGGAGCTACAAGAAGATACCCAGAGTTGAGAGGCTTTGCCCCCTTTGTAACAGATCCGAAATTGGTGATGAATTCCACTATTTGTTGAAATGTACCCACTCATCACTTTCTCATATAAGGGGTATCTTCTTGGAGAGTCTATCCTCGATAAACAGTAATTTTACGAATATGTCTTGCAAGGCACTATTTTTATATATAATGTCTATGTGCGATCAAAACATCTTTATCACTGAGATCTCAGTGAAATCTCCGATCAGTGCCTCTTATATTGAAAATATTCTAAATTGTTATGCATCCGAACTCTAATTAAACTTTCTTACCATACGAGTAGCGTATAAGCCTTACATAGCCAAGTAATTTTTTCTTTTATGATAATATTCAATTGTTCCTTTCTTTCCTACTTAACTTTTATTTTACTTTTTTCATTTTTTATTGTTTTCGTACTGAAATCTTCATGTCGAAGATAAAGTAAATAAAGTTGTTGTCGTTTATTTGTTTGTTGTTGTTGTTTTTTTTACAGGACTCTGTTTAAACTAGCTCCATCTAATGCTAACCCAGTAGTTCCAGAATCAAATATAAATAAATAAATTAATATTGCTTGAGCGGTGCCAAGAAATTATTTGAAAGTGTATCAATTTTTGTCATTGGACACCGTTGACTGTCCATGGGCAGACACCTCTCTACTTACAGCACTCGGTCCCTGTCGTTTTTCAGGACGTATATATAATTTGTAATCATTATCTCTTAAGAAAGTGGAAATCTCTCTAAACACCCAATGACCGGTTCCCAAATGCCTCCGTCTTAAAAGAGCGATGACTGTATGTTTTGGTTCAGTAGACCATGGCAAATTTCGATATGTTAAAACCCACGCTTGGGCGAATAAAACAAAAGAGACCGTCTGGAGGTTAAAGGATGAATATACATTTCTTTTACCTTTTTCCTTCAAGCCTTAAAGCTACGTTTAAATTGTGGCCAGTCTGTCTAATCCTGAGTTGATATTTTCCTTTCCAAACAGTGATCTTCCCGCATGTTGTAATACGCCGCGAAGAAACCATAAGTCGGTAACTTCAATTTAAAGTGCATTAGGCCCAGCGACGGTACTTAAAGTACCCTTTTGCCGACAAAGTGCGCGATAACCCAGTCTTCTATCAACAAATTATGTCACCTGCATTTCCCGCAATTAATAAGCGTCGCGGTGATAACTATAAACGGTTTTATTAAAATGGGTTAAAATACCGTTTGTTTTAGCGAGAACACCTGTCAGGAAAGTTTAATTTAAACTATTTCTCCCACTGACTCTTTATCAATTATTTATCAGGTTTATACGGCTACTTACACTTCAATAATGACTGAAGCTATAAAATATATCCATTATCATGTATATTTCCTGCCAGCACGCAAACTCAGCACCAACAATCCAGCGGATACTTTGTAAACTGTTCACGAACTGAAAATTATCCTAATTCTACCTGCGCAAACCGTCGTATCATCAAAGCTTTATTCACATATGTGAAACGTTAAAATGCTATTACAACGTCTCCTAAATGAGATGCAATTTACAGGTGGTAAACGGAGCGAACACTTCCTTCCCTGTTAAGGTGTTTTGATATAGTTTTTCAGAGGCCATACCGATCTTTTTCAATCGCTTTAAAAGGGATTTTATCCTTGTCTGATCGCTATAAAATTGTGGCGATTGGTGTTCACACTACCGTTTCGATGCGTTTCCGACTGTCCACACGAAAATGTTCGAAAACGGTAGAATTTCACGTTGTGTTGTAAAGTGAACTCTATGCGCATGCTTCAACACACGCGCCTGCGATATTTTTGGTCATCGTTTTCCTTTATGACCGTTCAAACTAAAATACGACATGTATGCGCTTTGATCCACCGTCAAGAACGTTTTCAACTCGATTCGTTTTCGATGAAAACGCTCAACGTAGTAGTGTGGAGGAAACGCCTAAACGCATCGAAAAGTAGGTGTTTGCGAACGAAAACGCATTAGTGTGGTCGGGACCAAAGTCTACATAGCAATATTTTATTTTCTTCTCTCTTGTCTTTATACACCTTTTTAATTGACGGATAGTTAATCGATTAATCAAACAATTGGAATAGTATTCCATGCGTCAGATACTGAAAAACCTTGGAAGCTGTCTTGCTATTTCAACTCGCTTCAAAGGGTTTAGAAATGGTTTCAAACATTAGTTCTCGTTGCCTTTATATTTGAGCACAAATATGAGATTGTAAATACAACTTTCGATCAGCCTCTAGGTGTTTCGAAAGTGCTTGAAACACTACTTCTCAAACTCATTAATAATTCATAAAGAAAATTCAAAGGAAATTAATGTTTAATGAGTGTTTGGATATCGGATGAAAAACTGCTCATTTTTGCATTCTTAATTTCTCCTTCAAAAATGATTTTGTTTGAGAAGAAATATCAAACATTCGACACTGTTTCATCACCAGATGAAACACCTCGAAGTTCGTCAAAAATACTCCGCTACGCGTCGTATTTTCAACTCTCTTCTCGGTGTTTCATCTGGTGATGAAACACTGCGTCTCATGTTTGATATATTACTTCTCGTGTTGTGTTCATATTTGAGCACAAACATCGGATTGTGAACACAAATTTCGATCTACATTAGAATTGCTTGAAATACTCATTCTCTTGTCTATCAAATTTTGCGTCATATATACTGTACCCCCGACCTTTCAACCTTTCTAATTTTTTTGTAACTAACAAGCGGTTAAGCAGACTTAACAGGAAAATATACGTTTGAAAAAGCTGTCTCTGAATTGGGTTGAAAACGAGCACAAAACGTATGGATTCTCATAAGGCGCCTATCATTTCTTCGAGAACCAGTTAAAGATGCTTTTTCTGTTTCCAGGGCCACCGGCGTCTCCCACGCCCTCACGTTGTCCAATTGCATTGACTACCTTAGACTGCTCCTTCAGCATCTCGTGAATCTCATCAATTCTGTGTTTGACACAAAAAATAGAACCGTATTAGAATATCGCAGATACTTCCTGCTTCCTCTGCTGGAGAAAACTTAGCACCTCCAGTTCGCCCCGTGTAAGGGATTCCGGATTCCAGAAAATTTTTGCTTTCGGGATCCGAAATCTGGGAAAATTGTACACGTGGAATTTGGAATCCTGGGCTTTAGAATCCGGAATACAGTACAAGGAGTCCGGAATCCCACTAACGACTGGAATCCACAATCCAAGTTCCACTTACAAAGACTGGAATCAAGTACCTGGAATCCGGAATCCACTGTGTGGAATCCAGAATCCAAGACTGTCTTGGATTCCCTTATATGAGGCGATCCTGTATAGAGCGTTTTCGGTCACGTGTCCAGCAGCGACGCAAATTTATTGGAACAAAAAAACAACATTTTTACATAATTAGGTTCAACTAGCACAGGATCGGTTTGGAACACCAACATGGCCGCCAATTCATTGTTTTAGAACCGGGGCCCATTTTCATTAATGCAAAAGAGAAAATAATTCAGCTGTACTTTGAATCCTGCTCCAAGACTTTGTCAATAATCTGTGCTAATGCTGGAGGGACGCCATCATCGTCTCCCATGCTTTCTGCTTTGCCAAAACCAATGAATTTCTCGTAGATCTAAAAGAAAAACCGAACCAATAAACAAACAAATTGATGATATATATTAGCATCAGAAAGCACACCATTACAAACATTTCATGTTTGCCCTTTCCTGATTAATCGTTGTCTCTTGTTAACCACCGTGTACAGAAGTTTGCTCAGTTGATTTTTTTTACCGTCCGATCGATTAGCATTTTGCTTTTTGCGGGCGGCGGCGTGTTAAAGCAACGAGGGTAGCGAAAATTTAAAACGTAATTTTGTACTGTAGTTTCTGACCTTTGTCTGTAGTTTAGAGCTTCTGTTTGGGAATTCCTCGTGTTTATCGACCTGGACACGTCTCAAAATCCACTTAGGTAGCGATTCTTCAATCTCCAGCAACAACTCAACCTTAAATAAAATAAGATGAAAGAGCTCAAGAAAAATAACACAACAATTTGTCGTCGTATGTTAATGCATCAATTAATTCCAGCTGCGCCCAGCGCCCCCCCGGGCTGACCCCCGGGCATTAGCATTTTTTTTTACTTGGATGGCAAATTCCCGGGGTGGGGACTCTTGAGCTGTCAAATCCCCCGGGGTGGGGACGAAAAAAGAGGGCAAATGCCCCCGTCCTCCGTAAACACTACAACATTTTTCATTGATCGCATAGTCGAATAGTGCCGTTTTAAGCATTTTAATGTGAATTTTTTGTTTCAGTTAACGTCTTCCTTTGTAATAGCGCTATGATTCTAATTAAGACTTCACGCCGCAACGACAAGCACCAGTTTATAATTTTGGTATTGATGTAAAATTATTGCCATTAAAATAATAGAGCGCTGTCAAGTTATATGTTATGAATAGTTTTATAAATATGGAAGGATGTTCTTCAAATAATATCAACAGAAATTTGATTCAATAACCAAAAAACGTTGATTCACGTCGATAGCTCCCGATTTCGCTATGTAATTCTGGCTCGATAAGCAATGAAGAAACGCATGCATAAAATCAAGAACATGCCTTTAAAAACCTCTTCAATTTTTCCTGTCCTTGACAGATGAGCCAATCTGCTTTCTTTCCCAGTAAAATCCTCTGTGTAGTTATTTTCTGATAGGAAACCGCGTGCGTGTCAAAAGCTCAGGAAAGGCCCCCGGGGTTGGCAAATGCCCGGTCCCCGGGCAGCACAAAATTTGCAAATGCCCCACCCTCGGGACTGACAAGGCGGACAAATGCCCCGCAGTAGCCCGGGGGGGGGTGCTGGGCGCAGCTGGAATTGACTGATGCATAGCGTTAGCGTTTTGCTAAACCCAACTTTTTGTCAAAGTTTTTGTTACCGTCGTTGACTTGGTTGCTTAACCTCTACATGGTCATTATAATAATAATGATAATAATAACAACAATGATTATCATCATCATCAACAGCGTCATCATCATGTTTAGTTAAGGTAACAAAACCACTGCAAAAACCGTGTACGATCAATCTCGCTCAACGTCGAATCCAAAGAGATCGTGATCAGTCAAAATAGATCAAATTGAAAACGTTGCAGTCAAGAAGACTTTTGAAGGGACTGATCAAACAACGTGAAATTGAGTTAAGTTGCGATATTTCGACTGGCCAATACCAGTCTTAACCACGTTTATTGAGATATCACGAAGTTACAGAAATATATATGAACTAAAATAATGACCGGAAATTACATAATGTCACGTGGTATGGTGTGGTTACTTTGATTCCTATTGAAAAACTTAAAAATGGGCGTGATTCTTTCCGGAAAGCACGTGAAGCCCACCTTATCCATAAAGCTAAGACAATTGAGCCTCTGGGCATCAATAAACGTGATGAACTGTAAAAAGTCTTCTTGACTGTAACGTTTTCAACATCATCATCATCATCATCATCATCAATATCAACATCACCATTATCATCATCATCACCATTGTCATCGTCATCGGTGTTAACATAATCGGCGTCGTTATCACCATCATAACTCGATCATTAACATATTCTTGGTTTGGAAACACGTGACAAGTTGGCGATGTTGGCGGTCGATACAATCAAAAATGGAGTTTAGTTCCCATCAGAGAGAAAACCCTTTTTTATTGACCACCAACATGGCCGCCATGACGTCACAAACCAGTAAAATGTATAATTATACCTGCATGACGTAACGAGCCATTACTGACTTCTGCTGAATCTTGTCTATGTCCCCAACGGCCAAACCAATCTATTGATAACAACAAGAAAATAATGCATACTAGATTCCTATCGCCATATTCCCCTAAACATTGTCCTCAAAAATAGGCCAGTTTCAAGATAAAAGAATGAGTAAGCAACAAATAAATACCTTGTACACATAGTTTCATCCCATCATAATTTTACAAACATGAGACATTTTCGATTTTCGTCTATCCTTTCAACAGGACGTAACTTAAACTTGCGTTTATTGTATTTGCAATTTTCTTCAAAAAGTTCATTCCCCCACCGTCATTCCTTGAGTTATCTCCACAATATTAAACCGCCAGAAGACCATAAATACTTTGTTTCACGGTACATTTCTTCCCCTTTATGTCGAACCAAAGCAATTAATGTAAGAAGCTATAACGTGTTTCCTAACATGACTCCGAGGCTTTAGGGTCAAAATTGCAAATTTCTCACGACTCCATTGTCTCGCAATTCCCAGAAGAGACTTGAGTACAAAGAAAACAACCAAATGTAGAAACGTGACCAGAAAGCCTTCGAGTCATGTTAGAATTTTGATATATCGAACGTGGGCTATTCCACTGGATAATACAATGGAATGTAACTCATAAGAGATTAAATATTTTTTCTTTCGAAAACTTCCCAAGTTATTTTACCGACATATCTAACAAAAAATTCTTTATAGAGCATTCCCAGATGTGATAAATATACATTTTATCGGCCTTTCATTCGGGAATGTCCGTTTTACAAACTGTGATTCCGTCTTTAAGTTGAACAAGTCCGATATGCCCGAGTTAAAAGGCCGATTACCTATACTTATGCATATAAAACGAATGGTTTTTTGGGACTCTGTCATCGTTTATTTCAGCTGCAAAAAGTAAGACCGCGAGCAGTCGTCTTTCTTTCCTCAGACCAACGGGCGGCGAGCGAAAAAGTAAAATTATGTAAATAGATGATACAAAGGAGGAGAGACAAGGGTGCTTCCGCTTTTTTTTCTCACGGCTCAGCCTGGGACCAGTAGGACACCAGGTTTCGCAGTGGGGAAAAAGGGCGTAAAAATATCGGAGAGCGAAGACCACTTGGCGAACCCCCCATCCACTACGGAGCCTGGTCCCAAGCGAATCGCGGCTTCCCCGCTCGCCCCTCACGCGTGCTCTTGATGTATTATGACTCAAAAGAGAAATAGGAGACTGCTCGCACTC